TGAACTGTGGTGGCATGTTCCATTGATTCATCATTGCATGAACCATTTGAGCATTTAAGGAGGGGATCAGTGGTTAGATAATGTTGTTTAACCAAATTTGATTTAGATAGTTGTTCATGGCAAGCCTCATTTCCTCTGTTACTAGCTGAGCTAGGTACTGGGTGTTGTGGAGTATCACAATCGCTTCTTGTCCATTGATTTGGACATTGAAGGAGATTGCATAGCCCATTAGACCTAGTTCCATCCACGAGGCAGGTTGGTAATCCCGTGCCTGTGGAGGTTGAGCATACACAATTTACGGGTTCTCGAGTGGGGGAAAGAGTGGTAGGTTCTCCATGGATTGTGTTGTGTGTTCTCGTAGAATTTGGATAAGTCTGCTCCTTCTTCTTAGGATTGAAGGAAGTCTTGGCATCCTTAATGGTGGATTGAGAGCTTAAAGAAGTGGTAGTAGGCGTGGGATTGGGGTTACTGGTAGAAGACGATTGATTGGGGAGTAGGGTAATGGTAGGTGATGATTGCATGGCCTTTGGTTGCCCAATGCCTTGTCTTATACGAGTATCCTCCATGGATATGGTATCCATTTCTTCCTCAAGGGCGTTGGACATTTGTCCATTTTTATTAGTCTCAGTTGCCATTTGGCTTGCATGCCCAGGAGTGGGTATGTTTCCATATCTAAAAGAAAGATTTTGTTCATTTTCTTTGTCTATAGGGGGATTATTATCGGATTTGTGGTTCAGTTTCTTAATAGGGTTAGTAGGCTTATCATTAGTAGGGGGGTTATTTTCGTCCATTTGGGTATCATTTTGCATGGCCTTTTTATCATTATTTTTGTTAATAATGTTTCTTGCCACGTTATTGTCCAACATGGATAAGTCCTTGTTTTGTGGAGACAAGTGTTCACAGTTACTTGTATTAACATTTTTTAATTTATTGTTGATTAAAAGATCAGTGGTATCTTCTAAAATCATTTGCTCTCTTTCCAGGAGAGAAAAGTGGTTTTCCATAGACAAGGTATTTTGGTCTGTGTTTGTCGTGGCCGGGTTCTTACTAATTTGATAATTAGAGGATTCTTTAGGTTTGTATTGTAATAATTGGATATTTTAGAATTTACCTGTATTAGCATTGAAGAGATTTACAGAGATACATGGGCCTTTGGAATAGTTGGTTGGATTTGTGAGAATTGGACAAGGATTTCTTGGACCTTGTTTTCTCCCTTTGCTAAATGAGACAGTTTTCCATTCTTCCTCTAAGTTTTCTTTTGCTGTGATGACTTGATCCTTGGATGAAGTTGTATTTTCTGGGGATTTTAGGACATAGCTACCATTTCCCATCGTGTGTCCAAATCTTCCTCATTTTTTGCACAAAAAGTTTTCTCCTTCATAGTAAATATATTATTTATGAAGGCCAATATAGAGAAAAGGTTGGACTGGGATTTCTAATGGAATTTCCACACAGATTCTTGCATAACGTCCCCTTAGAGTGGTTGATGTACAAACATCAATTTTTAATACACGTCCAATTGCATTTCCGATTTTTTCTAGAATTTTTGTATCGTAAAATTCTGTTGGTAGATGGGGCAACCTAATCCATACTGCTGAAGTGGTTAATTTCTCTTTTATAGCCACAAAATTTGGTTTCCATTTTGAAATAGATAGGAAATGGCCATTGATGAACCATGGACCTTGGTTAATTGCTTTCTCCATATTTTCCTTCTTTTTAAACTTGATAATGTAGTAGTCTTCTCCAAGATCTATTAGGAAAAAATCCTCCGTTGGATGCCAAAGATCCAGAATTTTCTTTTTTAAATATTGGTGTAACATACGTTTGCCTACCAATTTAACGATAATTAAGCACTTCCATGGCTCATAAATACGCTGCCCGTCTTCTTCCGTTAGAGGAATCTGTCTGATGCCTTGTGCACTAGAGTTTGATGAGTGCATGGACGTTTCCCCTTCTGTGGAAATCTTTGTCAGGTCCGTGTCGGACTGTCCTAGGTTTGGGGCAAAACTCATTGGGTCAGAAGCAATTAACATGTCCTTGAAGGAAGATTTGGTCATTAATTTGTTTGGAATAATTTTTTCATGCTCAATGTCTGGGGGTTTTGGTGGTATTGAGTATTGGGATTCATAAGATTGTGGATCCATGGTAGTAGAAAGAGAGAGAGATAATTAAATAATTAGTTCACCGTAAATTTTGAGCGTAATTTACTATCACTTACCTCTTGTTTGGAAATACTACAAACACTTCTACTTTAATTTGAGAAATTATGGCAACACCTCCTCTCCTGCCCATAGGACATTCATATCATTGTTCAAACCTCTGTTTTAAAAGGCAGAATTGGGACTCGCCCGGGGTTCGCTACGGGCGTAGCACTCGTAAAACGCCCCTGAGCTTATGTGTGGGACTTAGTTATGTGAGACTTACGCCTGGGCCATCGAGGCTTACGCCCCGGACACGCCCAACGCCCAGTGTACTAGGCTCGCTTAATAGAACTTTATGCAATTGTAGGTAACAAACCTTGTAAACCCTCAATTTTTCTTAATAAATCGTTGACTATTCAAAATTACTATTTTTTAATCATAAATTATTAAGTTGAGAATATTTTATGTCATAATTAAAGTAAAGATTATTGCACGTTATCCACTAAGACTGCTATGATCGTTAATTTAAATAAATCTTTCATTTATAAGGTATTTATATATTAACTTTTGTTATGTCTTTACTATATAATAGTCCATAGTTTTTTATAATTATTTTTCTAAATATTATATTTTTTAACGTTTACGAGATACAATACTTATTAATTTAATAGCTCAGTATTAGCTAGTAACTATTTACAAATAATTAGTTATCATGGTATTGATGGTGAATTATGTGTCACTTTATTAACTTGTTGAAACTTAAAAATAAATGATGCTAGAGAATCATATTTAAACTGTGAATTATGTTTTTATATACATTCTCTTTCAAATAGAAAGCATATTAAATAAAGGAGTATTTTAAGAAAAATATCAAATTATAATATTGAAATTCTTTCAAGATTCATTACTCCTTAAGAGATATACATATAAGATGTCGTATCAAATATATTACTTTTGATGTTTGAGTTGTAACGACGTTGCAGCTAATTTGCATATTATGATATGTCATACTTTTCGTATTATTCATAGTTGAATTATAAATTATAAATATTTTAAATAGATTATTTATTATAATTTTGTGATTTTAATGTAATTTTTATAATTATTTTTTATTTTATACTATTTTAAAATTGTTAAAATTAGTGAAATTTAAAGATCCGTGGGACTTACGCCCCATGTCTCAGAGCTTACGCCTCGCCTCGTCAGAGGTAAAACGCCTCGTCTCACGCCCCCACCTTTTAAAACATTGGTTCAAACAATAGACCCTGTTTAGATAATATTTGGTTACGTTGAAGCTGAAAAAAATCATTAATTTGCGTATAATTTTCAATTATTTTGGAAATAATGCATGCGCTCAAAATGTATATTTAAAATTCTTAAAAATATTCAAAGTAATAGTGAGGGAGAAAAACTGGAAAATCCACATCAAAAGTTTTTAGAAAACATCTCTTTTGGGGTCCTTGTAGCAATTATATAATTGTCTCCATGTGACATGTAGGTTACAGGTTCGTGCCGTAGAAGTAACCACTAATACTTACATTAGTATAAGTTATCTACTTCACACTTCTTGGAGTATAATCCTTCTCTAGACCAGTGCCAGAGGTAGAATTTCCGCTAATGGTGTTAAAAAAGATAGAAAATTAAAAGGAACTTTGTGTAGTGGAATTGAACATCAACCTAAGAAAAGTTTTGAAACCCCTTTAGGCAGTATCAAAGGGACTTAAAATATAATATATAGAGGTATAAATCGAATTTTACCTTATATATATAGTGTAATTTTCCGACGAATAAAGTTTGGATGAATCCTTCTGTCATCCTAAATCCGCCTTTGCTCTAAATCTTATATACGAAATATTTTGCGCATCGAACTGTTGTTCTTGAAAAAGCAAAAGAGCAAAGGAACTAGAAATTAAATATGAAAAAAAGAACGGTGGAAAAGAATAAGCAAAAAAGAAAAAGAAACAATGAGCGCCCTAGGAAACAAAAAGGTAAAAGCCCTTGGAAGTAGAAAAACAACTAGCGGTAACAAGTTGAGTGGAGAGCCTTATCCATTATTTCAATATCTTCCAAAGTTCAAGACTCACTCGCCCCCACTAAAGGTGCATACCACACAATTTTTCAATCTAAATAATAGAATTTAAAAAAAAAAAATTATATATATATCGTCAATATACATAATTTCTATTTTATATTGCACATTTGATCTTTCACAATATGCTGAATATTATGATAGACGGTAGTGGAGGCTTTTTCTAACTTGTTCTACAGTGTCAATTTTCATCGCATCATCTCCATCCATTTTATCACGTATACGCTAGTTTATAGTATTTATTCTATCTTAATTTATGTAAAATATTTTTCTTTTCGATCTACTTCAAAAAAAAAGTGAACCAGAGTGATAAAAAGATCGACCACATAAGTAAAGTAAATGAAAAAACTAACCACTAAATAATATAATGAGATGAATATGACCCGTCCTTAAGCATAGCTTATGGGTTCGAGCCTTTAATGAGTCTTATACAACGTAAAATTTGAATTAACTGAACAAATGATTCACATATACAATACTATAGTTATAAACAAAAAAAATGAAGAAAAGACTGAGCCTCAGTAAGTAGTTAAATTAAATAAAAAAAAAAAGGAAAAGTTAAAGCAAGTGGTATCCACGCGCCGAGGGATGAAGGTGGGTAGAAGGCAATTCGCAGTCCATTTTCTTTCTATTTATAGTACAGTAGGGACAAGTGGTCAATTAGGTCGTGGGGACCAAAATAGAAAGAAAGTGGATAACACCGAATCTTTTTTTATACCTATCAGATAATATTAAATTAGAAAGAAATATATATTTATAGTCCCTTTCTTCTTATCCTTTTCCTCCTTCTTCCTCATACTTTCATATCACAACATTCCCAACTTTGTAACCTTAATTTAAAGAATTCTTTACCTAATTTATTGGGTATTTGAGGCTTTTTTTGAGAGCTGTATGTTGGATTTTTGTTACTTAAATGATGAGTCTGAAAATGGGTTCAGTTTCTTTCAACCAACAAAACAACCATGGGATCATGGTTGACCAAAATCAAGATTATTTGTGTATTGATTCTTCTTCAGAAGTTTCTAGTAATTTCTCGTCGTCTGTAGACGACGAGTTGTTTGGTGAAGAAGAGGGAGAAGAAGGGGATTCTTTTTCTTCGTCTTCTGATTCAACTTCTCCTAATTCTTTTGGTAGTTCAAGTCATGAGCACACGACGGGAGCGTTGCAAAATATGTCCTCTCTTCTTCAAGAACTTCCCTTCAAGTAAGAACTGTTCTTTAGCCTTTTTCTTACTTTTTTTCCTTTTAAGAGAATTAACTTTTATACACTGAGATTAACTATTAGCTCACCTAAAAGATAAATTCGTAATCGCTCATGATAAGTGAACTTAGCTAGCTGATTGAATATAGATCTGATTGAAATTCGGAAAAAAAAAATTGATGATGAGACGAAAAATAGTTTTAAGAACTTGAAATTGTGTTTGGACATGCATTTTTCTTGAAAAAAAATTGAAATTTTTGTAAGTAAAAAATTTTAAATTTTTTGAAAAATTAGTCTAAATCACTTTTTGAAACTTAAAATATTCATCTTTCATAAACTGCCAAAAAATTGATCACTTTTTATAATCAAATAATGTTTTTACAATATTTTTGAAAAAAGGTAGAAGAAACTTATGGCCAAACGGGAGGTTAATAATGAATAAAAAAGCAAGTAAAGTGGGGCTAACAGGCTGACATTTTTGCTGGTAAAAAATTATGGAACATTAGTTTAGTACTTCTCAATTTTATTTTTATTTCGCACTATATTGATCTAAGATGAATTTTAGTGGAACGACATGGTCAATGATAAATGATGCGTAATGTTTGCTAACTTACTACAACATGTTAAAATATATTGACTAACTAATTAAGCTGCCAATTAATATAAGCTAGATTTTATTTTAAATATTTATTTCTCTCATATATTTTATGGAGATACTAATTGTTTCATTTGTTTATTTAGGAGAGGGTTGTCAAAGCATTACAATGGAAAATCACAATCATTCACCTCTTTATCAAATGTGAGTAGCTTAGAAGACTTGGCCAAACCTGAAAACCCATGCAGGAAGAAACTCAAATCATGCAAAAGCTATGGAGTATTTTTGGAAGGTTTTAACTCAGATCATCACCAATCTCCTCCTACAAAGAAAACAAACAGAAGAGGGTCATGTTCATCATTTAGAGCAAGGAGAAATGGTAGCCTTCTTGGGAATAATAATAGACCTCCTGTTCCTCCTCTTAGATCAACTAGCACAACTAGTTTTACTAATCAAACCCCTTTATTTGCTTGATTGTTCTTGTCAATTTTTCTTACAAGAGTTTATCAAATAAGCGAGAGCCTTGACGTAACTGGTAAAGTTACCATGTGATCAGGAGGTTATGGGTTCGAGCCGTGGAAACAGGCTCCTGCAGAAATGCAGAGTAAGCTTACATACAATAGACCTTTGTGGTCCAGCGTTTCTCTGGACCCCGTGCATAGCGGGAGCTTAGTGCACCGGCTGCTTCTTTCTTTCTCTTTTTTTTTTTTATTTACATTACCAAATGTATTATGTGTTCTTGTTTTCAATGCCTAAGCGAAGGATGACTAATTTTTGGTGCGTTACTTTAGCTTTGCCATTATAACATAGGCGGATGTAAGATCTATCCATAGATACAAAATAGGGAAAGGGTTAAATTCGTCCTTCTACAACGCAAAAAGAATCAACAACAACAATAACATACCCAGAATAATTCAATTGGTGGAGTCTGGGAAGGGTAGTGTATACGTAAACTTTACTTTACCCCTGCTTGGAGAGTTATAGAGGCTGTTTCCGATAAACCCTCAGATCACTACGCAAAAAGGATCAATTTTACTTTTTGTATGCTATCCACACAGAAATCCCTCGTAGTTACTCAAATGTTTCAAAAATATCTTTTCCGTTAGCAAATATTCATATAGACACCTAATATTATATAACACTGATATTTTGGTGATATGGACATTACATGGCACGCCACGTCATCCCCTCAACCCATTTTAGTGGTGGAGAAGAAGCGGAGGGAATGCAGTAAAATGGATTGGGGCTGTTGACGTGGCATAACATGTGGTGTTCATCTCACCAAAATGTTAGTGACACGTAGGATTGGGCGTCTATTTTGGACGTTCCTAACATAGGAGGGATATATTTGAACCATTTGGGTAACAACGGGATATTTTTGTGCGAATAGTTCACGGAGGATAAAATTGATCATTTTTCGCGTAATAGAGATTAGAGGGGAAAATTTGGCTCTTTTCCCTAAAAAATAAGTGTGATTTTATTATACTATAATACTTTAAATTTTGTGTATAGTCACGTCGAGATAAAAATAATAATTTAGTTGAATTAACCGTAAGAATTACTGCTTATTAATTTGACATATTGGGTAGTCGTGAAATCGTGATTATATGTGAAGTAAGTCCATTGTTGAAAAATAGTGACGATGATGAGTATTTTCAAAATAATGAAAGCCCTACGAAGATAATACTATTGTAGAGCAAAAAGTTTGTTTCGAGTTAATGAAAGCATCAGCTTGCATTCTCTCATAAGAAATGAAGTCATTGCTCTATGAAGGATCAAATAAGGAAGGTTGATTATAAAGAGTCTCGTAGAGATTAAAAAACTAAGTATGATTAATCTTTTATAATTTTTTGGATTATGATGTATATAGTGATGTACCTCGACTTATTGAGATCTATACTTATGCAACTACCAAATTCTAATGAGATATTCACACCACTTTTATAAATGCCCAAACATTTTTAGGTTGGGATCAATTTTAAAAAGTTTTCTTAATTAAAACCAAGAGGTTTGGTGTTGAAGACAAACTAGTTTTCACGATACCAAATTGCTATAATTTCCGGGAAAAGAAATCGTAATAACTTCATTCTCAACAATTGTGCATTTTTTCCTCCATTCTAATTAATTCAATCATTTATTCATGAAAATAACTAAACATATGCGAAACTTAATTCCAAAAAATTTGCAACAAAAAATTTAATACTTGGCCCTAGCTATCTAATTTGTTGGATGGGGTTTTCTATGTTGTGCAACAGGGGCTTACAATTTTTAGGAATATTTACCTAGTTATACTACATTATAAACTATATTACCCCTACTAAATAGGTTTTCATTTAATTACCTTCAATGAGTAAATTCTACTCTTTCCAAGAATGTGCCTCAAGAGAAGTAGGAACGAACCCAGGATTTTGAGTTTTTTGTTATGTAGAGTATTACTATACCCACTGCTTATTTATGATAAATATAAAAAATATGGACCACTTATGTTTAAATATACAAACACGTATAAGAGATTTTAACTATTTATATATAATTCGAATGTAAAATAGTTGATGTAACTGTATTGGCTGCCCAACAAGCTACATTTACAATAAATATGCAATAAGCAATTCTTTTGACGTCAACGCAAGTGGCGAATTAGACGAGATATATGCGTATAAGTTCAAGAGTTAAGGAAAAGTACATAACAGGCCACCAATTAATTAGTTTAGGATTCTCGCTAGATATAACAAATCCCATGGTCTGCTGTCTTTTCTTGGCAGCTGCCGGTGGCTGTTTAAATGACAAGAAGACGAGTATTATATCTCTAAGGGGTGATTTGGTTTACAAACAAGTTATACTAAAATAATAAGATGGAAATAATAATAACATTTGGAAATAGAGAAATCCCATGAAATTAATGTATTTTAGGGTTAAGGAAGAATCGAGAGAAAAAAATGGCTCAGATATTTTCTTTTCACTCAATAGTCACTTGTGTCCAATATTGTACAAAGAAAACAATATATTAATGAGCCTAAAATGAACCCAGAACTGAATTAATAACCTCGGGTCTACTAATAATACATCAAATTACAGCTACTTGACTGATATCAAGTTTGGGCATATTTCTGTCATAGGCCAGAAGCCAAATATCCTTTAAGTCCAACACCCCACCACAAGTTGGAGAGGAAATCACCTTCAACTTAGAAAGAAATTGATGATGAATCTGCCCAGGAAGAGGTTTCGTAAGAATGTCTACCAACTGCTTGGAAGTAGAGACATGACCCAACTGAATCAAGCCTTCACCCAACTTGGTTCGAATAAGGTGGCAATCCACCTCAATATGTTTTGTACATTCATGGAAGACAGGATTCTTAGCAATATGTATAGCAGCTTGATTATCACAAAAGACTGAAATTGAAAGAGAAAAAAGAACATGTAGATCAGTCAAGATTCAAACCGACCAATTTAATTTGGCCACAACCTTGCTAATGGCACTATATTCTGCTTCAGCAGAAGAAAGAGAAACAACAAGTTATTTATTGGACTTCCAACCAATCAGACTTTCACCCAAAAAATACAGAGACCAGTTACAGATCGCCTCATATCAACACAAGCAGCCCAATCACTATCGATATAGGCACTCACAGTAAGATCAGAAGCATTGGAGTAGAAAAGACCAACATCCAAAGTACCTTTAAGATACCTTAGAATGTGTAATGCAGCAGACGTATGAGGGACTCGAGGACATTTTAAAAACTGATTGAGATATTGTACAACAAAACATATATTCGGCCTAGTGTGGGTCAAGAAAAGCAACTTGCCAACCAAACTCCTAAAGGATTCAGGTTTAGCCAAAACTTCACCACTATAGCTAATAACTTCGCATAAAGCTCCAAAGGGCAAGCAACAGGGGAAACATCTTCATATTTATATTCAGATAACAAATTAGAAACAAATTTCTTCTGATTCACTAGAAGACCTGAAGGAAAATAGGAGCCCTCAATACCTAAAAAATAATGTAACTGACCCAAGTCATTGATTTTGAATTGGTTATGGAGAAACTATTTTAAGCCATAGATTTCAGTAGCATCATCCCCTGTGAGAATGATATCATCGACATACACAGGCAACGCTGTGAAAGACCCAAGAGAACCCTTGTCAAAAAGAGAATAACAATTAATGGAATGAGAATAACCTCGAAAGCGTAAAGCATGAGATACCATTGCCGAGAGGCCTGCCTGAGACCATATAATGACTTTTGAAATTTACACACTAAAGTGGCAAAAGAGGAGGAACTAGCAGTAGAAAGTGAAAGTCAAGGGGGTAACTTCATATACACCTCCTTATCTACGTCACCATGATGAAAAGCATTATTGACATCTAGTTGAAAAAGAGGCCATTGTCTCTTTATAGCTACTACTATTAAGCATTTAACTGTGGACAACTTTATCACTAGAGAGAATGTCTCAGTAAAATCAACAGCCTCTATCTATGTACTCCTAGTCACAAGTCGGGCTTTATATCTTTCAATAATCCCATCAGCTTGATATTTAATTTTATAAACTCACTTACAACCAAGAGATTTTTTTTCTTTAGGTAACTCTACTATGTCCCAAGTGTGATTAGCCACTAAGGCCTCAAATTCCTTTTTCATGGAATCCTGCCATACTGGAATAGGTGCAGCTTGGGAGTAAGTACTAGGTTCAAATTCAGCATGCTGTAGAACAGAATTGGAACAAGAGTAATAGGAAGGAAGAGTGCACAAGTAGTCTTGTAAGTAAGTGGAGGATTATGTTCCCTAGTAGGCCTTCTGAGATTGGAAGGATGACCAGGAAGAGAAGAAGATGGCACTGACTCAGTTGGAACAAAGGAAGGAGAAGGTTGTAAAGAAGAATTTGAGGGAGAAATAGATGGAGAAATGACAAAAGAAGTCGTAGGAGGAACGGATGAGTCATCAGCAAAGATATGAGAGTGAGAGAGAGATTCAGGAAAAATGGTAGGAGGAGGACAAGAAAGGTATGTTGGGAGAGAGAAAGGAAAATAACTTTCATGAAATACCACATCCCTTTAAATGAAACACTGTTTGGTAGCCAATTTATACAACTTATTACCTTTCTTGGCAAAAGGATAACCAAGAAAAACACGAAGAATTGCTCTTGGTTTGAACTTATCTCTGTATGGTATAGGGACTGTAGCATAACATAAACATCCAAAACTTCTCAAATGAGAGTAACTAGGTGCCTTAACATGCCACATTTCAAATAAGGACTTATCATGAAGAAGCTTGAAGGGTAATCTGTTGACTATGTAAGTGGCTGTTAATAAACAGTCACCCCAAAATTTTATAGGTACTTTGGATTAGAACATTAATGTTCTAGATGCTTCAAGGACGTTTTTTCTCAACCACTTCATTTTGTTGAGGAGTATAAGGGCAACTAGTCTGGTGGATAATACCATTTTCTAAAAAGAATGTGGAGGCAGAGGAACTAGATCCAAGCTCTAGAGCATTATCACTTCTGGTTGTTTGAACAATGGTGTGGAAGTGATTCTTTAATCATGGTTACAAATGCTTTTATTGAAGGAAAAGCATTGCTTTTGGACCCATTTAAATGGGTCCAGGTAACCCTTGTATAATCATCGACAATGGTAAGGAAATACTTGTCCCCGGAGTATGTTTTAGTATGGTAAGGTCCCCAAGTGTCTATGTGAGTGAATAAGTTGGAATGGTTTGGTAGTGTTAATGGTACTATCTGGGAAAAGTAATCTTGTTTGTCTTGACATGGGACACACATTGCAAATGAAA